CTCTGCTGTAATTCCTTCTGGCGATTTAACTGGTTTAAAACCGTGGATCAAACATAACCGGGACTTGAAACAGCTGGCGGAGATTCTGGGCACTTCATGTCTATTTAGCAAACCTCTCACCGATAAGAAGCTTACTGCGACATCACTTCAAGACTGTATCCAGAAGCTGGAGGTTTTATTTTGTGGCTCAGGAATTGATCAGTAAGTCCAGGGTCGGTGTAATCCGGAGTCTGTACTGACAGTTCATCTTCCTGGTAGCGTCAACTCGGGCGAAGCAACATCTGTGGTGGCATTTTACCTGTGCGAAGCGGATGACGACGCCTTTATCAGACATTTTCGAGGTTTACCTTGCCTGTCGACAATCGGTAGGGACCCCAGTTCCGAGCCTGGGAAATGGCAGTACCGATGCGTTTTGGAAAAGCACGAGTCGTCGGTCACCCAAGACGATCTCTTCATAAACAATCGACGACCGACATACTCCAAGGCCTTTGAATCTCAGTCTCAAGCTCTTCAATGCTGGGAAGACATCGTTGGAAGGTCCCAACAACTTTTAGATCATCGCTGTCCAAGGCCTTTTCCGGGCAGTATGAGCATGTCAGATCGTCCTGAGGTTTTTGAGGCCGTCAAGCTCATCCGAGCATATATGCCCTGAAGAAAATAATGACGACAGAACCACCAGGAAATTTATCTGAAATTACAAAAGTGGACGGAGATTAACAAACTGAATCAAGTCCCAGAAAAAGCTGCCGAATAACCATTGGTGTCCGAAGGACTTGTTGTTAGTATTTTCAGTCTCACTCGCTCACTCGCTCACTCATTTTACAACAGCGCTTGTGCGTGAGTTAAAGTAATGTCATACCACAGACACTATGACTAGGCAAATCGAGACTTTATGGACCGACGAGGATGGTTTCGACTGGGATACTCCTCTCGCATATGTAATATTTTAATAGCCTCATTGTTAACAGGATCAGAGTCATCTATGCAGCCCAGGCGCTCCCACAAGATTGCCTTGCCTTCTTGCTAACTGTCTTCCCCTTAATCGGGCCAGTTCCTCCGCAATCAGTTGTTGGTGGTCGCACAGTGGAGCTATGATTGCGCTATAGCACTTGATATAGACAGGCACCACAGCAAACAGTTGATTGACCGAAGGTTGAAGAAACTGGAGAGGCTCCCCTCGTGTATAGAACGTGATAGTGATAACTCCCGTAGGCGCCCTCAAGGCGAAAGACACCAAACTTGAATAACGGGAGACCAAAGTGTAGTTTTCGTCACCCGATAAGAAATTAACAGTGACTTGCTCTGGCCGCCGACAACTATTTTGGTCGAAAATCGTGAGGTATACGGTATAGATGTGTTGAGCGACGGCGAGAGTCGGGAAAAACTCGATCTCGGACATGGTTGCCTGCGGAGGGTTCAATTGATGCTTTCGCGGTAAATCTTTGCCGGATGACTTGAGAGCCGGTGTGCTTCGCCTTAAGTATAGCTAGATACTACGCTTTGAGCTGAATTGCGCTAGTCGCTATGCTGTCGAGGACCTCGAACTCGATCTTCTGATTTTGACCTATAGTCCTCCCACTTTATGCGCCCGTATCAAGCGATGGAGACGTCGACCATTCTTTGAAAAGTCTACAGGCATATAAGTCTGGTCATGGGATTGCGGAACGCTCGGCAATGACAACCATTGGGTATAGGGTCGTACAACCTGCAGATGTTGACCTAATGCCCGCTGTCTTCGTGGATTGTCGCGGAAATATCTGTTTAGCCTTCATTGGTTGTCGTGGATACTTTGTAACTTTCGCGGTCGGTGGCCATGAAGGATCATTTGCACTAGCTTGGGTACTCTCGAACGCTGTTGGTCGAAATCTTCGCCGTCGGGAGTGGCACACTTTAGAAAGAGTGAAAAGGAGGGTATGGTGCTCTCTAGGATCATAACGTTTGTCCTGGACAGTTACTTTACACCTCGAATGCAGCTTGCACGCCTGGCGAGGGTATTTGACATTGGAGGGGAGGACAGCCAGTGATGTGCGGTCTCGCTGGTGCTGTGTCCAAACGCGAGGTTTGTCGTGAATATCCGTGATCTCGCGTGGATCCACATTTTCAAGTTCATGCTGGACTCTCCGTAGAGCATGTTGTTCTTGCTTCAAGCCCACTGTAACCTCCCAGGGATCCTCGGCAATTGGTCCTGGTAAAGATTGATGTCCTCTTTCATTCATGGTCTGTAGTGCTGAAAGTCGTGGGTTTGAGACTCTGTGGAATCTGAGCAACAGAGAAGGCTGTTAAAGTCCCTAGCTTCCATGAGGCTTCTTATACCAGCCCTGACGGCCTGCATGAGGGCGCAACTCGACATGCTTGAGGATTGGAGGCATCATCTTTGGTCCTCAAGAACTGCCACGCGCGTATCTCATGGTCGAGGAGTTAACTCTTTCAGAGTATTCGAAACCAGGCGCTTCCGGACAGGCCAAGGCCGCTTCTGGGTTTTAGAGTCTTTGGTTGTTGGCGCTCTGTATGGCTTGGCAATTTTGTCTTGTCTCGGGTACGATCGGATCTGGCGGGACATTGCGCTGTTTATACACCAAGAACTTCCTTGGTTTGGCTTGAATGTGAAAGAAATGGCCGTCGAGTCGCGGTCTCGCATACCAGTCGAAAGGAGTTAGTGCGGACTTGTACAGTAGAAGGCAGCATGCCTCTTCATTTAAGTGAGTAAGGTCTGAAGTATTACGTAGATCGTCTCGGGGTAGCACCTGAGGAACGCCATTGGTTGGCGCCGGAAAGATGTACAACCGTAACATGTCGCAGAGTTCAGCATAGAAATCGAACCTACCTGACGCAAGATTGGTTCTTGACAAAAAGAATAGCAGTCGAGGACCGAGCCAGTGTTAGTGTCATCATTGTGCTTTCTCTTCGCACTTTCTCTCTGTTGTACAGAACTGTACAGTATCTTTCGAAGGTGTAGCCGAGAAGACTATTGATTTTGAAGGTCTTTTGTGCATTAGCCCCATCCGTGACACATCATAGACTTCCGCGGATGGAAATCCCGCAGGAAACCACAGAGTTTGATTGTGTCTTAAACTTAAACTAGTAACAGGTTGACGAGTGCACTTCGGCAACGGTGCTCTTTGACTGGCTTCTCACCTCCCACGATATCGAGAGACTCATCCTGTACTGCATCGCCCGATCCCTGATGTGGGCCATAGAACTGGACGTTATTTTCATCCGCAAGGAATCGTGAAGCGAGATAAATAAAGAATGATTGGCGAGAACCTCACTTCAGAGTACTGGGCGTTTGTTGGCCCGTGCTGTTTACTCGCGCGAGTCCAGCTCCGCAGTAGAGGTTCTCGCACTGGTTCATCAGTCCTCAATGGCATGGTCAAACCTCTTCCACCTGTCACGAGGAAATGCAACCCCAACAACGATGGCCGAACTTTTCTTACTGGCCAATATCACCCTCCAAACTTGGACCTGCATATACAGTAATGTGCGAAACTGGCGTCACCTTAAACAGTATAGAACTATATAACTTAAGTTAGAAAGTCTCCACTGTTGCATCGGCTTTACTGATTGCAGTTAAGCGTCCCGCGGTCTAACGATCCAATTATACTCGACTGTAATTTATCAACTGGAAAAGTTTGACCTGGCTCTAAGAAAAGCGTATGTCATTTGAACGGTGTTTATCAGCTTGACTTGGCGCCTTTCCGTGGACCTCTCGGAAGTTCAGCATACTGCAAGCTCCGTTCGCAATTTCTGCACATGACTTGGTAAGCTTATCCCACGGGTTTTCGAGGTCAGATTTACGCCTGAACTCTTCCCTATATAACACGACGCGTCGATTCTGTATTACTCAAGTGCGACTCTCCCTGTCGGTCATCGTGCGACGCTGCCTTTGTATAGCCATGCTTTGCGTGAACAACGCAATATCCGCTTGGTGTTCGATTCGCCGGGGCACTCGGCTGGTCGATCCATGGTAAGGCAATTTGCATTTGTCCGCTCTTTGAACCCTTCCACTACGCAAGATTGAGAACAACGAGAGCGCTATCGTGGCCAGTGACCGAAAGTATCGACATCTACTAGCTGAAATAAAAAGCAGGTACGAACGCAAATGCTCTGCAGAGCTACTAATGATGCGACGGCAATCTTCTTCCCTTTCCTGCATTGAACTTTCGATCCATGGCACGAGATGTACCGCACCTTATGGCAGAAGGCAAAGTACTGTGATAGCGTCGGGTCCGACCATTCATTGAGGCGCGATGGTGTTGCGATAGCAGTGTGTTTGGTATGTTATGGGTGAGAGTAGGACCAAATTACTGATGCCAAGCTTCGAACTGCGCCGAACCTCCGCGACCTCTACTGCGCTTGTACAAACCCAAGATGCACGTCCACCCATCCGAACATTGGGGCGTGACTGCACCTCTCGGATGAGCCTGTAATCCGAGTGCAGGCTCAAAAGAATGGAAATGACAAATACACCAGATCCTGCGCAAGCTTGGTCTGTGACCCCGTCTGTAGAAGACTGGGGCTCATCGTATACTTGTCGCACTAGAACGCCTGCTGTGAACGGCCGTTGGTCACCGTATTCGACCGCACCGACCCCGGCTCCACGATGGTCCTCTCGGTCACTCTCAGTGCTTTCACAAGAGACTCACCCGCAACGGCTCAGTTTTGTGTCGTTCGAAGATTGGGATGGCGACGCAACATACGACGAGGTACCTCCTTGTTGTCTACACTACTCCATCGAGTGGAAAGTCATGATTAAAAAGAAGGCGATCATCACGGACACGGAACAAGACGTGGTACTCAGTCCTGCCGTGTACTGGGAGAAGTGCCTGCAACCGCGTCTGGAGGAACGACTGTCGAAGAAAGGATACCCTCCCCGGAGTGTTCGAGTCGAAGAGACCGAGATTATCGTGTCCGTGACTGGGCGAACAGGGCGTCCGCTCACACGGCAGTTTGAAGATTTCCGAATTGAATGGTCGGCTGTGGAGAGACAGCTAACTGAATGGAGTGAGCTTTTTCAGAAGGGGAAGAAGCTCCTCGTGAAGATTCGCATTCGCTACGTAGAAGTTAACACATCAATTTCGACTAATAGCGCAGCCGCTAAAACCACGAAAGCTAGGGGGACTGCTACCCAACACATGCTGGCCGAACGTGCCGCTCAAATTGACGCCGAGGAAGCCGCAACAGGTAACCCCTCCGCTTGGCGATATGTCTATGCTTTGATGCGTTGTCCGGGACCACCCTGTGTCAAGCATTTCTGGTGTTGGCACGACACTCAAACTCAAAAAAGGTACACTTTAAAAGCGCACCATCTACGAACTCTCGTCAGGTATGTCGAGGATGAAAATTATCTGGAATCTCACGACGACATCCCGGACAGCCTTCGACAACAAATCTACGCGGAAGAAGAACAATATATGCGGAGGAAGCGTGTTGATCGTGGATCTATTTCTTTCGACAGGGCCCCAATCCAAATCACTAACATTCTACCACCTCAATCTTCGACGGAGTTAGAGAGTATGCAGCGACCCGAACCCAAGCGTCTCGACATCGCTGGCCTCCATGAGGTTAATGTACAAAAGTACTGCAGCTGGCTTAAGTCTCAAGTGCAAGAGGAATCACGCAAAACAGAATATCAAAAAGCAGCTGACTTTCTTCTTAAAAAATCCTTCGATCTCGACTTAGTCTATGAGGACCAGAATCCTACTTTTCTTATTGAGCAAGGAGGGGTAGAGGAAGGCATCGCTCGGCGATTTGTGAAGGACATTCCTTTATGGGTCAAACTTTGCAAGCAGAATGACATTGAAGCGGACAGCATCTCGGAGTTCTAGCCTGGGTCTATACATCTTCGGTGAACAACCTATTGGGAGGGGTTTTGACTTTTTCCTATGTATGTGGTGGTGTTGGGAATCATGGTTTAATAGTTATTTTCGGCCTGGAGCCGTAGCGATTATGAGAAATTCTAGTGTTTAGATCTTGGTTTACAGTACTATACAGTTTTCACAGCTCTTCTATTGTAACACCCGCGCTCCTGAAGTGGCCACGTGCGCTTGCTTCTCGTCCACCTACTTCGTCGATACACCATTCAAGAAACGAAACAAAATCGGATGATGGATTGTCCTCAAACACATGCCAATGCTTTTTAACAAACGCCTTCAATTCGGCAAAGAACTCCTCAATAGGGTTGAAGTCGGGCGAGTAGGGAGGTAGAAAGACCAGCTTGACTCCTGCACGTGCGCATGCATCTTCAACCTCTTTCGTGCGATGGAACGATGCGTTATCCATGATTATTACAGATTTTTCTTGAGGAAAGGGGTTACAGTGACAGAGTAATTGCTCGATAAAATCTAGGAACATGGTAGCATCGGTATTGCCCTGGAAAACTCGCGTGATCACGATTCCGTCCTGACTAAATGCGGGTAAGATCTGATATCGCTTTCCTCGGGGAAGTTGGGCGATCTTGGTAGGGGTTACGCCACGCGGTGACCATCCCCAGCGGCGGAAGCCGATTCTCTTGTCGCATCCGGATTCGTCGACATAGACTCGTTGATATGATGGAAACTCGGACATTGCATTCTGGTAGTAGTCACGAAGGTCAGGATTTCGCCCTTTTGCGATACGTCGTATTGCTTTCGTGGACCAGCCTGCGGAGGACAAAGCTCTACTGATCGTCCAACGCGATGCAAGGGTCTCAAACTCATCCCACAGCCATATGACCATGCCGTCCAAGTCTTCATCTGGCTTATCAAACAAATGTTCGCACAGCTCCGAGACCATTACTGGGGTTAGAATCGAAGGTCGGCCGCCTGGATTGCGGGGTGCAGTAGTGGTGCCAAAACATCGTAGGTTTGCGCGGTGTCGTTTAACGGTGCGGCTAGTACAACGAACCACCTTGGCTATGTCTGAAGCTGTAAGTGATTGGCTGAGAATCATATGCTCGCTTTGTCCGTGTTGTGACAGGGCCAGATTTGGGGCCATGATCGACATGGGCCGTTGCGAGGGAACGAAGCCTAAAAAAGTCTACACTGTACAGTACAAGAAAGAGAGTGGTGAGTTGATGTGAACAATCGCACTGTCGGCATGCACTTTGGCCCGAGTACAGCGTCGACCCTCTACAAGAGGACACCTGTCCTCTTGAGAGTTCTCGAATCTTCTATACAGCAAAACATTCAGTAGATTTTGCTACATTACGGTGAACCGTAGAGCCACTCTGGCAAGTTTTTGGACAACACATCAGGCGTTAGCACCAGCCCTCTTAAGGATGAGACCGTCCCTTGATTCTGGCATCGGAGCATGACCTACACTGTACAAGAACTGTTCCTGGTCCTGGAGGGCAATCGACGTGATCGAAGGAGCCATGTCTAATAAAGACCGGTTATATATTTGTCTTTATGCGAGAGGAGGGCAGCCGAAAATGCGAGACCTTGAAGATACGTAAGTGCAGTTCAGATAGGAAACTTTGGACATTTTTGAGTAATCCCCGAAAACAGCTATCACTGGGCTTTGATGGTAGGCCCGAAGATTGAGAAGCCAGAGAAAGAAGGTGTACGATACCACGCGAAAGAAAAGGTCGGTTCGGATGGCGTACATTGGGAATTTGAGAAAAGATCTGTGTCACTCCGACCGACAAGTATGCTCCTAGTGCGGGTGTTGATTGGCAAGGTGGACGATTCAGCTCGACTTGATGCGATCTTGCGTCAAACCCCAGTGAGGGATGGCTTGGATGGTTGGAACTGCGTTGCCTGGCTGAAGGAAGCTCTAGAGCTTGTTAGTAAGGACAAAAAGGCCGTTGGAACAAGCGTCCTGGTGTGGAATACTGTTCGCAAAACTGCAATGGATTACTGTAACCAAAAGAAAGCGGACGGTCGATTTTCATCTGCGAGGTATAATCCAGAGAAAGTTCCAACATATGACCTTCTGGAGCATAAGGAGACAACTTCTTGAGATATACAGTAAGTTGAGAAAGACATAGCCTTCAGAATTCTCCCCACCATCTCTGCCTAATCTTCTCCATCTTGAGAGCTTCAGGCCAAGGCTCCAAGAATTTGTCAATATTTTCGCCCCAAAACATATTCCTTGGATTGACTTGGTGCGCAGTTGTATACTCCCAGTAGGGAGGCCACCAGCCAGCAGTTTCCCAATCGATAATTCCTGTTATATTCTCTCCATGTACCCAGACATTCAAGCTGCTCAAGTCACCATGACTTAAAACAGGCCGACCCCACTTCTGCTTTTGTAGCTGAATCATATCCTTGATGTCCGGGTATCCAGGTGGGGCTTCCTCGATACCATTACGAAGGAAACGGTGAAAATCATCGGTGTTAGCGAATGGACCAAAGCGGTCCAGTCCGCACGGTAACCTGCAATCCCATAGTGATCCTCCGTCTACACTGGCTATTTCGTTACCTGGCGCTGGTATAGATCGCATCTCGAGGACTATCTCTCGTAGACGGTGCAGTATCTTTTCCCTAGACGGATCTGATAGATTCTTCCAGGTTGACGCGAGGCTTCTCCCGCGAAGCCTTCTCATTACGATGTACGTAATTCCGTTTCGTTCGAAAGCGCAGTACACCTTGGGAGTTGGGATCGACGTATGTTGTTGAACGAACTGAAGCGTCCGCGCTTCTGAGAGGTGTCGAGATATGCCATACTTGATGCAGAGCCAGGGATAAAGTCGGATAACGGAGCGCGTTTGGGAGAGACGGAGAAGCCGTACAGCGAGCAAGACCAGGAAACGACGCACGCGGGTGTCGTTGATGGATGGCGACGAGGGAGTTCTGCCAAGGTCGGAAGACGGGTTGGGCTCTAGAGGCACTTGGTATGTTTCCATCAAACATGAACTACGTCTTGCATTGGGATGTCAAGGGCGCAGTCTTCTAGTCCATGTTTTTCTCTGGGGAGCGAGGTTGAGTCGCCAGTGTGGAAGGTATTCCGAGCTGAGACTAGCAACTATTAGTAAGCTAACTATGTGCACAATTTCTAGGAGCAGGGGCGCAACTCAATTCGGCATGACTGAGTCTGCGGGATGGTCATCGAAAGTATGAAACTGGGAAGAAGTGCGAGATTTCGTCCAACAGGGAAATCAATGTAACGATCAATATATTTAGGTCAACCCATGGTGACAACAGGCAAGTCCGTATGGCGAACTGTGCGGAACAGTATGTTCTTGATGATCTGCGCCATTTGGAAGGTGCATTCACGTATCCATGTCAGATCACACTGAACCCGTCGGCAAGAGCTTCCGGAAGCATGACTACGATGTGGTCTGCTTCCTTTTTAATAACATCTCTTAGGAGGGGGATGATCTCGACAAAAAGAATCAGCATCTCAAGAAAAGTGTCGAGTACGTAACGCAAGCTCATGCCAAATTTCCAACACAATACTAACAGGTGCATTCAGACGATGTCGCGAAGTCGTCGACGGCCTCAGTCCACACCTAGAAATCATCGTATCTTTGCTTACCGAGATGGTAAAGTCGTCCGATGAGCCCGCGACCATAGATCCGCGCGACATTATCATGAGAAGAAATGTAACAGAACATTGCAATGACATATCGCTCACGTTTCGACTTTTGTCCACTTGCCGGAACAATCCCGATAATAATTATCAAGAGAGTCATGATCTGGCTCACATCACAGAGGAGGCAGCCGACCGATGTTTCAAAATGCTCACCGACATTGTCGAAGCCATCCGCAAACGGAGCGTCCTATTATACACATCCAACCCAGTGAATGGACCACAGTGCATTGGAAACCGAAAGAAGTCCAGTGGATACGCGATATGAGAATCAACTCTAAATGCAGCGTGCCCACGGATTTTGAACTCAGGCACCGTGCAGCGACAGAGCATGATCAGCCAGGCGGCACAGCTGTCTCCGGGTTGACTGTCATGATACAATACTCACCCTGCGAGCAAGAGGTGGACCCAACCGTCCAGAATCGTTGCGCGTACTGGAATCTTCGGAGACAGAAGAGCATATCGCCTTGGCGATCGAAAGAGAGACACCGTACAGTAGTGCCATATAACGGACATGGAACGTCAGGGCTATTCAGAGAGGATTTGCATCAATGTTAATCTCACTGATATGCCTCGCGTCTTTCCATTGGTCTGTGCACACCGAGCCAATATATCTATCGATTCGCTGTAATATCCCTGTCCTCGGGCATGTATGCGTTGTACCATACGAAAAGCCACACTTTTCGGTCAGAATCCCCTCACTTGAGTTGGGCAAATCACACTAATTATGCACGAACCAGCGCATACAGCTGGCGAAGGAAAATCTGACCATGAGCTTCAACTCACATCCCCTTTGTACCATTCAGAGACAGCTGCATTGCCCTTCAAGCTTGCCTAGTCACGCCATCATGGACTCAGAACCACCTGTGAAGGATTTCGCCTCATGTGTATCCTGCGACAGCATTATCATGATCTCTAGGCCTCGACGTGGCTATCGAGGCAAAAAGAGGCTCGTCGATCCAGTATTCCAGATCACAGTCTGTTACACTTGCGAACTGAAAGGCGCCGCAGTGCCACCTCGACAAGCGAACGAGTTCCTCGCTGAGCAGCCGCCCTCTTATTGCCTGAGTACGTCTCTCGTGAGAAATTCAGCGAACTTCATTGCCGCGGGCAAGATGCAGGAAGTCGAAATGTCTCTGCGTGAGAATGGTGGGAGAGTCACACTGACTCACAGGAGCGATATCCTACACAGTTATGATGCTGGATGCAGGTTGACCACGATCCACGTGAATAAAGACCTTGAGACCACGACAGATGAGTCTCCATCGCTTGAGACAGGGTTTTTTTGAGGCAGGTATCATCATTGATTTTGGGATTCGCAGGGAGAACTATCACTGACGCGTTTTCAGATTCACAATTTGTGTACGTCTCTTCTCACTCCTCAGACCTGCTCCTGCAATTTGGAAATGGATTATAGGACCCTTGCTATTGCTGCTCACTGTGCTGACATGCCATTCTGTACCATTCCAGGAATACCGCAAAGAGCGCTGTAGATCTTTGTCTGGCTTTCAAAGAGGCGAAAAGGGCCTTTGTTGAACTCGGAGATTAAGGAGGAATTGCACCAGCTTGACGCTTGCTCCAGCATGTAGCTACTCAACACAATCGCGATACCCGAAAGGCCGTATTGTTCGAGATCTGTGCTCAAGCAATTGAAGCCTTGAGGCTGTAAAACTGCCTCTTTACAACTCAAATGTTGTGGTACAGATGGGGGGGGGAACCGGGGCCTACCGGTGCAAGGGTGATGAATCATCTAGGGAGGATCTCTTGTTCGCGTTCGTATGCATGCTCGAGAGGTGCGAACAGGATTGATTCTCAAATGGTATTCTGTATTTACTGTAGCAAGAACGCTTCTGACGGCAATATACCGAGGGCGCAGTTTCCCCGCCAGAACCTCAAGGGTTCACGGAACAGTCACGTGCTGAATGCTAATCTTGACTTGGCGCTGATTAATGTGATCTAATGACAGCTAGTATATCTGTACAGAAAGTGACAGTAATTTACATGTACTCACAGATCAAAGCTAATTGGATAGCTTATTCGTTAACGTCCAAGCTATTTATGGTAAAGCTCATGGCGCTAAAGATGAGATCCACCTATCATTTAGGTATTTATGTGTACGTGAGAGTGACGCCAGTTCCGCACATTACTGTACGAGAAACACATTACTGTAAAGTAGTGGTACCGACACAGTGAACAGTGGGTAGCAGATGACTACTGGACTACTGGGACGAAACTGTATGGACTGGAAAGGAATCAGAAAAGTCGAAGATCAAGAGCACGAAGCACATCAGACGCGTCTCGGGAGGCCCCAAGCCTGACGCGCCAGACGCGCCTTAGCGTCGGCAGCTCCCGATTGGACAATGCCGACGACACGCAGAACACCAGCAACACCACGACGGCCCCCTTCAGGAAGAGCCCGGAAACCCAGCGCAAAAGCGACCCAACTGATCGTCGAAAATGACTCAGACCTGGAGACGATTTCTGTGGTCGCGGACGGAGACGAAACATGGTCTCCCCCTCGCAAAGGCCATCAGGAAACCACCCTAGAAGTGCTCGTGAAGGTTGTATCAGAGCTGAAAGAAACCATTGCAAGCCAGGGTAAAGCCCTTCGCGACATACAGGACGAGTTGAAACAGGTAAAGAGCCAAAATACTGAGCTTCAGGATGCGGTCCGCTCCCTCGAATCCAAGCTCGAACGGGCCACCACTTCCCCGATCGCCCCACGGTCCTGGGCGTCAGTTGCGAACGAAGGCAGCGCAACTGTAGCCCCCGCAGGACCCACCGCACCGACCAACTCCCGCCAGCCGACGAAAGAACCTCAGTGCCTGCGCATCTGCACCAAGGCAAACCGAACCGAGGACGAAGTGAACGGAGACACCCTTACTAGGAACCTCCCCATCGGAAGAGCCATCGGCCTCATTAGACAAGCCCTGCTCAAGACAGACAAGACAAAAGAGGTCGAAGTGGTAGGAGTAAACACGACTCGCACCGGATACGTGGTGCGCTGCAAGGATGAGCAAGCAGCAGCGACGGCCAAAGCACACACTGAATGGCTGCAGGAACTCGGCAACAATACCAAGTTAGTCAAACCACGATACCCGGTGGTTATACACAGGTTCCCTACCGACGGCATCGTGCTACCAGATAACGAACACGAGTTCATTCGCCAACTCATGGAGGAAAACGAGATGCAGGCCAAGAACGCCCAGATCGACGAAGCCACATGGCTCATTGCAAAGGGCAAGCCAATCGGATACCATGCGACCCTTGGAATATGGTTTGACAGCGAGGCTGCGGCACAAGACGCCATTACATATGGACTAGTGTATGGTCAACGACACATGGGGGTATCAGCATATGACCCTGAAAAGAAAAAGTGTTATAACTGCCGCGAACCAGGGCACTTCCAGAAAGACTGTCCAAAACCTAAAGAATGCCATCTCTGCAAGGGCGATCATGAGCGAGGAGACTGCCCATCCAACGAAGGGGGCAGGAGCGGCAACCGCCAGGCAGCAGAACACATCAGCATCAATGAAGAGAGGGGGCGTACCCAAGCAAATGGCTCCCAATGAACCAGAACAGTCTAAAAATACTGCAGCTGAACATCATGAAATCGCGCGCCGGCATGGAAGCGCTTGTCAATGACCAAGCAACACAGGACCTCGATGTGCTGCTAATACAGGAGCCCTCCATCACCTCGTACCAGACTTATGTTAACCACCGCCTCTGGTACACATACCAACCGACACATCCAAACGACCAATTCCGAAAACGTAGCCTCATCTACGTCAACAAACGAATCTCTATCACAACACACCGCCAAATAGCGTGTAATCACCCAGATGTCACGGCAATCAAAATCCGGAATGGAGAAAGACAGACACTGGTGTTCTCGGTCTATGTAGAACCCATCGAGCTACATCACATCAATGAGCTACAAAGCATGCAAGCTACACTGAACGAGATTGAGGGGACAATTGAAGAACATACACGAAACTGGCCATCCCCAACCAGCCTTATCATAGCTGGAGACTTCAACCGACACCACCCAGCTTGGAGCGGCACATATGTGTACGCTCATATCATGGCACACGCTGAGGAGCTCATCAACTTCATCCACACCAAAGGATTGTCGTCGTGCCTTCCCAGTGGCACCCCGACATATTGGTCACTCAGCCGACCAGGCCAAAGGTCGACCATCGATCTGACGCTTACGAACACGCCCGACTTGATAGTGAAATGTGATCTGTATAAAGACAATTTTGCTTCCGATCACTGCGCCACATACTCGGAATGGAACATTGGGGCGGAACAACGACCAGAAACGACACCACGCCGGGCATACAAACGAGCGGAATGGGCCAAGATAGGAGCTAAAATCCAGTCATACATGTCGGATATTCCGAGTATTCAAACGAAAGGAGAATTGGACCAAACAGTGAAAACCCTCCTTGATATAACAACCGCTGCCATTGACAAACACATACCGATAGCGAAACCCAGCCCATACTCCAAGAGATGGTTTACCCGGGAACTCAAAACAGAACTCAAGGAGGTGAATAAATCTCGCAGGAAGTATCAGCGCAGCTGCACAAGGAATGGTCGCCATCACCCTCGGACAGTGGAGCTGCACGAGACATGGCGCACCAAACGAAGACACTGGACTCGTCAACTCGAGAAAGTCAAGGCAGCAGACTGGAAAGACTTCCTCGACCAAGCAACCTCGCAAACAGTGTGGCGCGCAACACCATACATGAAAAGGAACGATGCTTTCGCAAACCTGCCGCCACTCCGGGTGGGTGACCACGAAGTAACAGACAACCATGACAAGGCACGCGTACTATTGGAGACCTTCTTTCCCCCCACCGGCCACCCGCCACCTGAGTGTATCGTTCCACCGAAGGAGATCCCATGGGAACCAATCACGGAACAAGAAATCGCGAAGACACTCCAACGGATGAAGAAACGGACCGCACCTGGTGAGGATGGAATACCAACACTGGTATGGTTCCAGATCTGGCCCTACATATCATCAATCGTGACCGCCATCTTCACAGCGTCCATCGACCTTGGCCACTACCCTCAGCAGTGGAAAGTAGCAAAGATAGTGGTTCTGAGGAAACCAGGCAAATCGGACTACACATCTCCTGCGGCGTACCGCCCTATTTCACTCTTGAACACCCTAGGCAAGCTGCTGGAAGCGGTGGTCGCTCGACGCCTCTCCTACTACGCGGAAAAGTATGAACTACTCCCGGACACACAGTTTGGGGGCCGTCCAGGCCGAACAACAGAGCAAGCCCTTCTGGTCCTAGCGAATGCTATCGACCAAGCATGGCTGAGAGGCAGAGTGGTTACATTGGTCGCATTTGACCTGAAAGGAGCATTTAATGGGGTCAAAGCGACCACACTGGATGCACGCCTTCGGGAGAAAGGCATACCCACAACAGCCAGGAAATGGATTCAAAGCTTCATGCAAGGTCGAACGGCAAGCATCCATTTCGACGGGTTCTCCACCAAGGTCGGCACACTGCAAAACGCAGGACTAGCACAAGGCTCACCACTTTCGCCCATTCTGTTTACCCTTCTCAATTCAGGTTTGGTAAACCAGGAGGTAAACACCCAGGGGGGCGCCTCAGCATTTATCGATGACTATTTCCGATGGAGAGTCGGGAAATCGGCAGAAGAAAATCTCCAGAAGATCCAGCAAGAAGACATCCCTCGAATCACGGAATGGGCGCGGCTGACGGGATCAAGCTTCGCGGCAGAAAAGACAGAACTGATTCACCTCACCAGACGCAAGAAAGAGCGAGGGAAAGGAAGCATCACCATGGATGGCAAGGTCATCCACGCCGGCCGCACAGCCAAACTCCTCGGAGTGGTATTCGACGACGAACTTCGGTGGAAAGACCACGTACAACAAGCTGTGAAAGCCGCCACCACCACCGCCCTCGGGATGGGAGGACTGAGGCACCTGCGGTCTGCCCAAATGAAGCAAATATATCAGGCTTGCATCGTACCTAAGCTTGATTATGCGTCAACGGTGTGGCACAATCCCAACCGGGACAAAGGACACCTCCGAGTTCTCAACACCGTCCAAAGAGCAGCGCTCCTCCGGATCGTCTCGGCGTTCAGGTCGGTCGCAACCCAGGTGCTTGAAGTCGAGTGCCATATCCTCCCCACGCGCCTCAGGCTCAAACAGCGAGGACAAGAAGTTGTGCTGCGACTATGCTCTCTACCCTCGACACACCCACTCGCCAGAGTTATGGATCGAGTCAGACAACGAGTGAACCGACGGGGAACTCAGCCCAAATTTCCATTGGCCGAGACCACCAAATCACTGGACAATGGGGAACTCGAGTCGTTGGAGACCATCGATCCAATCCCGCTTCCACCTTGGAAAATACCGGAATCAATCGAGATCACAATCGACCCTGACAGGTCGCAGGCACTTGACAAGGTAGCTAAGCTGATCGAAGATTCAGAGGCGGTCATGTACACAGATGCCTCGGAGAAAGACTCGAAACTTGGCGCCGCGGTGGTCATGGTGAATCGAAGGAAGGAACCACAGCGAACGTGGCAAATCGGAATTGGACTAGCCAGTGATTGGACGGTGCATACCGCCGAGCTAATCGCTATCTGTCACGCAGTCGAAGCCATCTATCAAGAAAGAGTCAACAGACGGAGAGACAAGAACTATACTATCATTAGTGATAGTCAGACCGCGATTAAAGCCATTGCCAACCCCTCCAACAAACCAGGACAAGCGATAGTACATCGTATCCTAAATCAAATTTCGACATTTCGAGATCGACGAATAAAACTCCGGCTACACTGGATCCCAGGCCATTCAGGCATTGAAGGGAATGAATTCGCTGACCGGCTCGCAAAGCAAGCAGTCATGTCTGAGAAGCAACACCGCTTTGGTCGCCTTGTATCAACAGCCAGAAGAACGGCACGCACCAAAATCCAAGGAGAATGGCAAGAAGAGTGGAGAGCCAGCCCTAAAGGCCAGCATTTGAAAAGAATCGACACAGGCTTACCGGCCAAGCGAGCCTTTCGCCTTTACAGTCAACTCACCCGACACCGGACCTACCTTATGATCCAGATGCGGACTGGACACTCCTGGCTCGCACCACACGGCCGACGATTCAGATTCACCGATGACGACCGCTGCGTGTGCGGAGCAATCGAAACTGTAGTCCACGTGCTGGTGGACTGCCCGAGGCTCTGGGAAGCAAGACAAGAACTACGTACTAAGGTAGGTGGTACACTTGAGTGCACCGCAAGCATGCTCGGAGGAACTCCTCGGAACGAGCAAGGTAAAGGAGGCAGTGGCGGGATCAAATGGAAAATCATCAACGCAGTGCTCGAATTTGCGGAAGCATCCGGAAGGTTCAAATCACGAGCTCCGCCGGCGAGGCAAAGGGATCAGAATAGGCCCCAACGAGGCTGAAAGATCGCGCATGTATTGTAGTCTCATACTGAGTGGAATCATAGAGTAGTTAGAATAGTAGTAGCCCAGCATATCACTCCCCACGGAGAGAGAGGACAGGGTCAATGATAATCACTCACTCACTTACTGTACGAGAAAGCTCGGACGGCATGTCGTAGGTTCTTGACAGAGGCTAATAGGAAGGTATGGAGAAAAGTTTGCACGACTTCAACGTGCTGTGCGAGGTCCTTTTCCCTATCCACATTTGACCCTCCTCGAGGTCCTTTTGTCTGCAGATCCCGTGGGGAAGAGGCTATGGTCAATAATGGGGCCCTCAGATGCTTCCGAGGGTCACGAGCTTTTGTCTTCTTTCCCAATCCCCAACATTTCGCCTCTAGTCAACTCTCTTACTGTACAATTCACCTTGTAGCCTCACACACTTCATCATAGGGAGTCCTTGATGAATTGTTCGGTACTGTAGCATTCGGAAAGAAAAGAAGGATAGCTAACGTGATACCCTGCAGCACTTTACCCGTTGCTACTGTACTTTCCAGTTAAGAATAAGATAGTATGACATCGGGGGTAAGAGCAATGGGAAGTGGCCAGACTACAAGCGTAAAGTTGGCCGAGGTCTCGTTTGCTTTTGGCTGTTCAACGTTCAGGGGATTCTAACAACGGTGGAAATCACCATCGGGAAGAGCCACGAATCGGCAACAACTGTGCCGTTCATACTGGAAGACTTTTGTTACTCGACAGAAACTGCTACATGTATACACTGTACCACAGGTATCCATGACAACACAAACGCCTGTAAAGCTGAATCCCTTTAACCCGAGAAGAGACTGTCGAACTCCTCGATGAATCCGTCATCAACAGCTTCACCAGCGAGCATTCGTTCAATCCCTCGCCCACAGCGTGGTAAAAAATCCCAAAGTCGAGGGTTAATGTCCCTGACCAAGTCAACCAACGTTTGAATATTACGTTTGTTAAGATTTTCATAACTAAGAGAATAAGTGTGTGCTTGGAAAAGAAGGTTTGTGGCACACTCACCAGGCGGGCCTGATTGTGTAATCAGGATCCAGGGGACACGGAATCGTTCTTATCGGTCGTAGCATCCACAGTGGCCGTTCGCGCCCGCAGATGTCTTCAAAATGGTGTAGACAATTGCCCCGGTAATTGGCCTTCTTGAGACGGCGGAGGGCTTTAGGATCTTTATCTTGTCGAGTACATTTCAGTATGTACTTGTAGGTAAGCGTATCTGACCCCTGGCCCTGTTTGGCAGGCTCCGTTTGATCTCCTGACTGCATCTCGACATCCTCTGATGCGCCTGGCCTCGATTTGTTATGAAAGATGCTCATTAGTGCGCGATATGTGGAAGTTATAGACAACGCCCCGAATGCTCGTGTCAGGCTCCTGAGCTTCGTGTAGCCGCGGCCTCGGGTATACAGTTGAACCGCTACCTGCAGGCCATCTTGGTCACCTCCCTGGATGCTGGTGCAGAAAGCTTCTGAAGCATGGCCAGGCGAGTCGACAGTGTCGTAGAGTCTTAGAGTGTTCTGAATGGTAACGTTGGATGGGGTACGACCGGAAAGGACATCTTGCCGAAGATTTCGACTACATTTGTACAGCTGCATGGTCCGTTGAGTGTCACTGCGGACTCGAAGTGACTGGTCTTTCAGAATATAGACCAGATCTCGGAAGTCCTCTAAGACCTCTTTGCACCCCATTGAGGAGGCAAGGAACTTCATCCTCACCTGCGGTGGCAGGTCTTCGAATTTCAGCTTCGATTCCGTTCGGGGATCAGGGCTGGGGCTTAGTAACCCCCCAGATGAAGGGCCGGTGGTGCTGGCATCTCCGGAAAAGGGCGAGCCAACCTGGGGAGCTTCCGTAGGGTGACTAGCCACAATCAATTGTATGTAACGTCTTCGCAGAGCGACGAAATTTAGAGCGCTTGGGTCCCTGTGTCCCAAGATTTTGTCCGCTTCGTGGAGCAGAATGACGCCGCAATTATTGCCGTCATTGATTAAACCCTAAACAATTAGACGGAGATAATCGGATTGAGCGGAAATAAACTCTGGGAGAACTTACTAAACTGTACCTCACCGTCCATCCGCTGAGCTCTGGTGCGCCGGAGAGGATGAAATGAGCCACGGGTATGGACCTCTCGTCCTCATGGTCGTGTACCATAAGTTGACGGTGGGCGAAGTGCAAGCTCACCAGAAACCAATGACTGGTCTGCTCGACATGAACGGGAACCAGAACTATCGAAGGTGTCTGCCACCTAAAGATCCTGGCCGGGTTTTGCTGGATGTAGGCCGCATTGAAATCATGAGATTCCACGACGTGCACATCACCTCGGATCATGGCCATACGGTAGAGGCATTCCATCACCGCATCGTCATTGAGCCACTGGCCCGGTCGAAACGTATTCAACATGCGCTCAACGGCCTCCGGATGGGTGGTGATCCAAGGAATCGAATCACGGTTGCGGCATCCAAGCTCAATCAGTCCATCGATATCCTGGATCATTTCTTCTTCTGGCAATTTTCGATCGAGCGTCGGGAATGCTACAACAACACCTTGAGCCGTCTGAGCCGTGCTAGGAGGCGTAGTGTACGAGTGCCCGCTCCCTACAACTCCAGAAAACAGTGGTGAGCTTGCCTGTGAAGAAGTGATGGAGATTATCGTAGCATCTGCTGCATTTGCATTTGGAGACATACCACTGCCAGAAGAACTGAACTGTTTCGTGGGAGTCGGATGGGAGGGCGATGTTCCTGAGGGTTCCGGAGATGAGACAGACAGGGCTGGAAACCACGGGGATGACGGCTGGAAGGGATCGGATGTCTCACAGACAGATTTCTCCAACCCAGGTCGGATTTTGGCCTCCACTTGCTCAGATGATACAGGCTCATCACCGTTAGTGACGAAGAGGTCGCCCAAGCCACCCGTCGGGGAGTCTGTTGGTGGTCCAGGGGAAAATGTCGGAAGCGGGGCCGGTCGACGTGCATTCTTGCAGAAGAAGTCTGTGTTGATGTAGAACTCATCATTCCTAGGTTGCCATGCATATTCTGGAATACTTCCGGCAATCGAACGCTGATCCCTCGGTGATGACACTGGCTGAGAGTATGCAGCGTCACTCGCGGCCTCATCCGTATCGTCGTCAGAATCCTGGCCCATAGGTACGTCCGCTGGGGTCCTGGTCGGACTCGAGTCATTGGACGGCATCTGCAGATCGGGTTCTTGTGCAGGAGATGGATCATCGTCGACGTCTTTCATCTGAGAATCCTCATCCTCACTTTCGACGCAAGCTTGAAGAAGGGGTCGATTTGCAGGAGGGCCTGACGAAGCATTGTTTGCTTTGATTTCCAGTTTGGCCAGAGACTTCCCATCAGAAGGACAGTCGCCAGAAGGCGAAGCATGCGTTGGAGAGGTGACAGTGGACTCCGACTGCGAGTCACTATCATGACCTGGAGTTGTGACTTCATCATCTTGGGGATCGATGATGTCTTCGTCCAATTCCTCCAAAACATCCAGTGGACGATATTGGCCGAGTACCATGGCCTCGGCCGTGACGGGACTCGAACCACAATTGCGGCTGGACTTCCGGCAATGTCGATATATGGGTGAGGGACACCAATCTGCTTCACAGTAGCTGATGCTCTCGACGACATTGGAGCCGGTATTCCATGCCCACTGATAGCTGAGGTAGTCTGTTCGTACGACCTCTCCGGGTCGCTGGAGGAAAATGCTAAAGGTGATCCCCCACTCGTACAGCACCGACGGTGGCACCAGGAGATTGGCATGACGGACGAACTGGCTGCAGGCTTGCGGAAGCTTCAGATTCTCCGCGAGACGTCCCTCCAGGACGGAGGCTTGCCTCGGTGGGACGACGATCCAAAGGACGGGGTCGCCGCTCCAGAGCATTGTAATAGATTGAAGATCCACCTCTTGCTTGTGCAGGAAGACGAAAGATGTTCCTAGATTGACCCGAACCTGACTCGAATGGATACCGGGGATGTGGTTGTGAGTGGCGAGAAGACGTCTGCTGGTAGACAGAGGGGTGTCCGGAAGTCCCAGCGCAGAGCGTCGACGAGGATGCTGTGCCGAGCACGTTACATACTCGAGTGGGCCAGATTTCACAGCCCTATGCTTCGTTATGACATCTTCGCATTTTTCAATGAGGATGGTCTCATCGAAAGACTCCCACGAAGGATCCTGCGCTGTCGTTGTCCTTTGTACGGGATCACTTGCATTTGTCCAGTCTGCTATTGCCAGAGTTACTGTGCGGCCTTTGATCACTGGCCCTTGTTGCTTTAGTCGTTGCTGATGAGCTTCTGCAAACGACAACCGAGAGAGATCCGGAAACACTGAAAAAGTAAGGCCATCGATGGAGAACTTCTCGTACCCTGTGCCTGAATTGGACCATGGTCGCCAGCTGCTAAGGTCGGATGCAAGTTTGAGCATTGTTGTGTAGCTTGAGGATAGAAACGCGAGGGCCTTCCGAGATGCACGGTGCAGAGTCAAAGGTGCATCGGTTCCGGGTGCTTCAAAACGTGTGAGGGACGTCTCGAGGAAGAGTGACGAACAAGAACAGGGCCGAGGTGGCATGTCCAAGTCGACGAAGAGTGACCCATGTGTAGGAGACACATCCATCTCAATCCATCTTCGTGACTGCAAGCAGAGTGGGTCGGAAAGGCATCATGACTGGAGCCATGAAGCAGCGTCCTGATCAGGAGGGAAAAGTGTTAACCCATCTTCTTCTGGTTGTGTGACTGCTTTCCCCCGAAAGAGTCGTCGCGTTGAGGGCGCAGGCAGAGGACATCGGTGAGATTTTTTTCATCTGTTGTAAGGTTTTGCGGACAAAGATTCTGTAGTGCTGATGTTGCATGACCAGGACAAACTGGTGTTAGAATGGCCGACACAGCGGCCAACCGCTTCGTGAGGGTGGCCAGCATATCGATGAACGATTGGAGACTGAAAGAGAGTCCAATAATACTGTATTTCTCTGATCAAGCCCAATGACACGAATTGGTCCATTGGTCGTGAACTCGGCGATATTACGAGACATGTACTCCAGGGCTCCAGCTAATCAGATTTCTTTCGTCGAAAATCATTCGGCGTATCTCATGAAAATTGTCAGGACAATGGAGCCGGAATATTCATTCGAGTGCCGCTGACAACATAACTTTCCGGCATTCTTGCATGTCGACCAGAGACCAATACAGTACAACAGTGGTAAACTGCGACTGAGGTTGGGGTGCTCTTTGTGATCGGAGTCAAAGAACGCCCCTTATGCCAGTCTTTCGACTTTATCGAAAGCAGCATGGTTGATTGGCTACACTTGCGTCGATCTGCAAGCCTCCCTGCATGCGCGGTGTCTTCCGATGTCTGGAGCAGAGTGGCACACAGACACGCGACCACCGAACTGA